AGAGAGAGAGAGAGAGAGAGAGAGAGAGAGGGAGAAATAAAGCGATACAGGGAAGAAGACAAGAAGGAAAGAGATATTATGCTGAAATGGAATAGAAAAGTGGAAGGGGGGAGGATGTAGTGAAAAATGGTTTTGATGCAATGAATCCATTATAATGTTACGTATGACTGTGTTCATCTTTTCCTTCTTCCGCGCTTAACCTTCATATATTCTGACTGATTGGCGTACACAAATGTATTATCTTTTACGTATATGTATATTATGTCATCATTAGTTAATTTCCCTTGACATTATGCACATTGAACATGATACCACGTTCTGACAGGCAATAGTATGAGAATATCCTTATTAGAATTGATCCTATTTGCTTTTAAATTTTAAACCATGCAAAGAATCATTGTCGAAAGAATTTTTAAAAACTTGTACTAATATTACATGCCGTAATAAATTAATGCGTGACAAATGGTTGTGTGTGCTGAAATAGTAACTCATGTAATTCTTCCCTTTCGACTTATTGCAGTTCTCTTTGAGTTCATGTGTTCGATGTCACTTGTCCGTTGGAATATTTAAATTGCTCGTTTGTTAGTGGTTTGTGGTTAGGCTGGTAGCTTGCTTCGGTGTTATTATCAATATTTTTTGATAATGATGATGATGATGATAATAATAATAATAAATAAATAGCATTTGTATAGCGTATATCCCCGCTCAACAGCAGGCTCTATGCGCTTTACACTATGATGATGATGATGATGATGATGAATGCATAAATGCCAACTCCAGAGCAGACCTGACCAACTAAACCAGAGCGAAAAATTCTGAAAACGTTTAATTATTTAACACTATCATCGGTAAACACCAGCATCTGTGGTGCAGTGGTTGGGCCCTTCACCACAACACACAGATCAAAGCTCGGTTCGTATATGGTAAGAATTATTATTACCGAATATCTCAAATCTCCGCTAGGATGTTGGTTCTCTCTCTCTCTCTCTCTCTCTCTCTCTCTCTCTCAGGCTAAAACAGCACCTGGACATGGAAGGCTGGTGCCTCTATAAATAAATCATTGATGGTCTCTCTCTCTGTCTGTCTCTCTCTGTCTGTCTCTCTCTCTCTCTCTTTCTTTCTATCTCTTTTTCTCTTAGATCTATCTATCTCTTTTTCTCTATCTATCTATCTCTTTTTCTCTATCTAACTATCTCTTTTTCTCTATCTATCTATCTCTCGCTCACTCTCTCCCTTCGCTCACTCTCTCGCTCGATCTCTCTCTGCCCAGCTTGGTCCTGTTAGGCAGGTTAGAAGCAGTCTACCTCCGGAATGACCTACATGTATATTGTGTTGATAAAGGTGTAAAACACCTACAATAAGACTGGTAAACCATAACTCACAACTTGTGCTGTTTGACATCACCATCAGAGCTCAAACAGGGATGTCTGTTGCTTATAACGAAGAGAATACAGTAGTTGTTTTAGTCAAAAGCGTAACACCCTGTTAGACACAATGTAAGTCATTCTGAAGGTGGAGGTTAGATTAGTCCCAATTAATTTATAAAACCTAGCTGAGAAAAGAAAAGACTATGAAGGACCAGAAAAATAATTATATGAACCCCTCTCTGACTTGAGCTTTTAATTTTTGCAAGTCCAGGACAAAATATTGTGGCACAGTGGCAGACATTCAGACTCAGACGGTCCAGCATGATGAAGTAAGACATACGTCCTCCTTCTGTTTCTTTATTACAGCTCATGAACAAAGCTTACAATGAACTGTCCTTTGGCACAAGAACTGATTGTACAGTAAAAATATAAAAAAGTTACAAATGTATTTTTACTCTTCCAATATGCAGAGGAAATGGCGACTGTTATTCACTGCAGAGTATCTTAACATAATGTACATGTATAATATTTCACTCACATCTATTATCTATATACAGTACAAAAAAGGTTTACACAGAAAGAAAATCCATGTTCAAAAACACATTTTTGAAAACTCATTTTGTCATGTCACAAATCCTTTTGAGGGATTTCATGTTTCCAATTCAGAACTAAGCATAAAAGCAGAATCCAAGATGGCGGCATTTACCTAGCCGGCTCCCTCAAAATTGAAAATGGGAAAACATTCTTGAATTTTAGTTTTCGGAGACTGGTCACTTTCTGAGAGAATACTGTTAATGGTATGTGCACTTGGGTAAACTGCAGGATCTTTTTGTCTTTCCAATTACTCCTTTAAAGTGGCTGATTCGTACAAATGATATGATAACACTGACAATTTAGTGATAATCCCTATCAATTTTATAGTATTCAAAAAATACCTTCAATCTAAAGTCATTCTTGAAGCACATGACAGGATTCCACTCGGTAAAAAATATGAAGTTACTTTGAAACAACATCTACCAAGAAATTTAATATAATACATGTATAACTGAGGGCTGTAGTTTGTACATGTACTTGTTCACCAAGAGTAACCCACACATACAGCACAATCACAAAATCAACTTACACAAGCACTCATTGTGATATCATGGTATGTCTGTCTGTTTGTCTGTCTGTCTGTCTGTCTCTGTCTCTGTCTCTGTCTCTGTCTCTCTCTCTCTCTCTCTCTCTCTCTCTCTCTCTCTCTCTCTCTCTCTCTCATGACAAAAAAGAAGAAAGAAACAGTATTTTAGTTGTTTATATAAAAACTTTCGACTCACGATACTTTATTCAGTAAATGCAAAGTGGAGTGGGACAACACTTAAATCCTGCATCTGCCACCATAGAATCAGGCTACATTGCAAAGTAAGCCTTCTTAAAAATTTGCTGACATATCCAAAAGTTCTCATTGTAAATACATAAAAAGAATATTTGGTGTAAAACTACTCTAAAAAACATGAATGTAATATACAATTTAAACATAACTAGAAATTACAGAAAACACTTTTCGCACTATTAACACAGATTTTAAAAAGTTTTGTTGAAGGAAGCAAGAAGTTCACATCAAATTTATTTCTAAAAGTTTTGTACATTAGTAAATAAGGCCCATTGTAAGGAAATCACAAAAATGCATGCACATATGACATAAAACAAGAGTTGAACAAGTCACGAGGGATTATGAATGTACATTCACTCCCATCTGAATCATGCATGTAGCATTTGAACACAAGCCCAAAGACTACTGAATTCCATTCACAATATGGCACTTTCTAATCTTCACATTAGCAGCATCTACTAGCTTCACAACTTTTCCAGACTCACTGTCCATTCACAACCATAAGTCACAACGACATAAGCATTCATTGCCATATCAACATTTCACTTCCTGTGATCTGATCCTCGTAAAATATGTGCAGATGATGTTGCTCATAATAGGAAGTAAAAAGTAAAAAAACAAAAGTCTGTCAAGAACAACAGATCATCTACAATTAAGACAAGAACATCTAAAAATAACATCTAAAAATATTATTCTCCCAACATCGAAAGCAAATACAAACTTTACAAACCTAAGAACTGTACCAACTGTACCAAAAAAAAGAAGAAAAAAATAGACAGTTTAAGCGGTTATTTTAAACAGGTCTTTATGGCACTAGCCGACCACTACTTCACTGGGTTCATAGCAGAATTTGTAATTTTTCTCAAAATCAAAAACAAAAATACTTTTAATCCTTTAAGTACAGATAAGCCTTTTAAAAATGGACCTAATCCTTTGTGATCCCCTTACCCTATCTAACAAAAGAAACTAACACCAATGCTAAAACTTGAGAAGTATCAGACTCATTAGCCACCTAAGCAATATAATGCTCCAAGTTAAACTAAATCATCTCCAACCTCAACGAAAGCCTTCGACAGAGTCTGACATGAGGTTCTGTGGCATGTCCAAAGTGAGAAAAATATTGAATAAGGGCTCATTACAACATAAAGGCTTTATACAACAATGCAGATAACTCAGTCTTTTTTAAACAATGTAAAGGGTGAGATATTCCATAACCTGGAGTAAGACAAGGTTGTCGACTCTTCCCAACTCTATACAATCTATTTCTTGAAAGAATTATGAAAGACCTCTATGAACACCATACCACCATATCAGTTGGGAGGTGAAGCATATATATCATTATATGTAACCTCTAATTTGAAAATCATAAGGACCTCATAGAGGTCTCTACAGGCCCTAACAACCAAATTGAACAACAGTGTGGGTTTTTTTTCTCATTTGGAATGGAGGTGAGCAAAGGAAAAATTTTTAAATCATGGTCAACCCTACCAAAGGAAGTCAAGCTAAAATAACAACGAGCAATGTGAAACTGGAAGAAGTCCATGAATTCAAATACCCTGGCTTATGGATTACAGAAGATTGACCAACATCCCACAAAGTTAAGGCCAGAATAAAGAGCAACAGCTATATATGTCAAAACTTTACAAAAACTGGAAGAGCACCGAGATCTGCTTCCAAATCAAATTCAAACTATGCAAATCCCTTGACCTTTTCATGTTTCTACACTACTGGCTGAAACAGAAAGAAAAATCCCATTGCTTCAGATGAAAAATATAAAAAAATTACTATGTATCTGTTATAAAGAGAACAAGAGAAAAAAATTATGTGTGGACAACAATTCAAAATAATATTGAACCATACAAACCACTACAAGCTACAGTAAAAAGGAGAAAACTCGCATGGTTTGGATGAACACATAACTGTAGAAGGTAGTCAAAAAAGAGAATGATAAAGAAAAGCTGGTCTGACAACATTAAAGGGTGGACTAGTTTGTTGGCAGGAGAACTCAACAGGAAGACAGAAAGTGCTCAGTAAACCCCCCCCCCCCCCCCCTAACAACACTACTCAAGGAAGGAGTGAGTTACAGTCTTACCATATCGATACATAGAAGAGCCTATGGAGGTCATAAAATTCATTAGTGGTGTATTTCAATTATTTTTTTCACTCAGTTTTGGACCTAAATTTGGAGAACAAATATATATATATATATATAGCATGAACATTCAATCACAAGGTAGTGTTATAAAAATATCACTGTGAAAATTTCGACTAAACTATCAACAATGATACAAAACTAATTGGCACTGAAACATTAGTATAATCAATTGTATTCGCTTATACTAAAACTTGATAAACACCACAACTACATGTAGTTAATGTTATTCAGAACTGACAAACTTGACCCTGACCTCCATCAAATTGCCAATAGCACAAAGTGGAGAGAGGGCAACAAATGTGTAAAAAGTATAGCTTGTTTTAGAAGTTGACTTAGACCAGATCAACCTATCAACGTAATTCATCTTCTGCGCACATTTTCATCAGGAATAATATCATCACACAGCCAAAATGTTATCTAAATCAAAATGAAACTGATCTGCCACAATACTTAGCATCACAGGCATAAATCACTTAACTCTTTGAGGACATAGCGGACACATATGTCCGATCAGCAGCAGACCAAAGGCAAAGTTGAGGTACATTTTGAATTATCCTACACGAATCAGAAATACGACCTTGCATATTTCATGGCATGCATGTTGTTGCCAACTTTTTAAAGTTCAGATAGAGAAAATATGACAGAAAAATAAGAGTGAATAATGAAGTTACGCTTCTTTTTTAAAGTGCCTCAAACTTAAAGCGTTGTCATATGGCCAGAACATATTGTGTCCTTAACGAATTAATGCAATGAAGCATTTCACAACACTATTTTGACACATAAGAGATTTGGCTTGAAACAAAATTGTCTCCATTTAACAACCTTAAACTATTTTACTACTTTAAAAATGACTAAAAAGGCAAAGATGCTAGCACAGTTACAATATGCAACATGAGCCTCTCTTTGACACTGTGGGAAAACTAGAAGAACATTACCACTCATGACCTCACATCATAACCCCCATCAACTTCAATCAGAACCACTCAGAAATATGGCTGTAAATGTTTTATGCTTCTATCAACACAGTTTGGATCATTTAAGACTCAGGCTATTACAACCCTGCCTGTCAGGGCTAACCAAGATGAGCGGAATACAGTATCCTACTATTAAGGTCGAGATATTCTATAACATAACTTCACCAGGCCTGAATCAAACTCGCGTCTTCTGTGAAAAGCATAAACAATTACAACCCAGATGTTAGTTCATTGGAAATAAACTCAGCATAGAATGAAGGCCAAATGAGATGATTTGATGGTAAGATTCAAGAAACCCTTTATATATCACATTAAGAAAAAAATCAACTTTTTCAGTTACCAGTACATGATGTAGAATGTACATGTACTTTCCTCAATTAAAACTGTAATAAAAAGCAGGAATTTCTAAATTATTGTTTAAATATGCTTTAAAAAATTAACAATTATACAGGAATACCAAATGCGATTGTCTTTTAGTTTTAGTAGAGTTTTTACTGCGCTCCCCAGAAATAGAGGGTCACAAGAGTGTGACAAACATACAAAAGAAGTAGACGAAAAATTACGATGGTAAGGATTAGGAAAGAAAAAGCAGCAGTTCACTGTTGCAGTTCGGGCACAGTTGTGAGAATGACATTGATGAATCAGCCCATTTACAATTCTACTGTGCATAAGAACATGTTAATGTAACTTCTTTCGGAATGGTCTAGAGACACTTCTGACAGTAGCACCGCCCCGGGGGGGGGTGAAGCGATAGTCTTGTAATTACAAAATGACATCTGCTTCAAGATCCGACTGGCACTGAATTTGACACATGACCACCTTCGAGCATGATGACATTTTAGTTTAGCTTACGTTTGAGAAAAGAGAAGAACATCGACACAATAACAGACATTTTGAGCAAGGAAAGAGCAAGATAACAGACAAACACAACAGAAGAGAAGAAAAGAAGAAGGGCCTACCAAGGGAGCCCTCAAATCACCTGTGCATTGTGACATGATTTTTCTACATTCATAAGAAAACTATAAAGTGCAGTATAAAAACCTTTCGTCATCCAAAGGGCTTTCTAGGAACAAATTCTCACTTGTATGTTTGTAACTTACATGTGGACATAAGCTGAGAAAGGTGGTAAAAGTAGTTATCAACATACTATATAAGCAGTAAACATGTACATTAAAAAAGTACTTCCAGTTACACAAAAAAGTCTTGACTCATTATTGAAATGTTTTGATACGTGCCGCAAAGAACAATGCCAAAACATAAATAGGAACCACCGTGTCCCACTCATGTTTTAACGAAACTGAGAGACACAAATGAATAATGAACATATTTTAACTAATTTTTAAAAAATAAGCTTCTTAAAGTTAGAAACTTTGAAGTTTGAGGACCAATTTAATGTCCCTTACTTGAAATCCAACATGGATATTGCTTAAGTGAAGAAAACTTTTCCTATTATTTAGCCGAACTGAAAAAAGCTAATACCACCTTGTGATAACAGGCCATAATTCTGGGAGCCAATTTAGTCTGGTCTTGTTTTTTAAAGCAATGAAGTTCCACGGAGACAATACACGGCTTCCATTTCCAGCAGGCTAGTTAAAGTCAGTAATTCGTTGAATTCCAAACCCTGGGTCAACCCTAGAAGTGCCAGTAGTCTACGTCAGAATCAAATAGCTGCCAATAAAAGTAGACTTCATGTCTAGAAGGCCAACATATAAAAAGCAAAAGATCAGTAATATCAAAGGAACAGGGAGCTGAAAAAATGAGCACGTAAACCAATGCGCTCATCATACACATTGGTGCAGACCAGAAGATATGAACGAGTTTAACAAAACAAACAAGGTAAGGAAATCAGGTTTGGAGGCCAGTGATCTCCACCTTCTTTATCAAGGAACAAGTGTAATGAACAAAGTCAATTATGAATGAGATCATACTATATAACACAATTACAACTGTTCAGCAAGTTTTAAACCTGAGGGAAAATGGAACAGAGACAGAGAAACACAGAGACATTCTGCACAAAGCATTGCTGCACTAACTAAACAACAGTTTGCACACCATAGAGCTCCTTCTTGCTGGTCTGCTCGTGCCCTGGAGAAACTGACCTGTTCCTAGACTTGTTCCTGGAGGAGGACCTTTCTCTGCGAGCATGACCACCGTCCGGGAATGCTGAAGGTCCACTACTAGATGGTAACAGTTCCTCTGTGACCTCAGGGTAAGCACTTTGGGCGGCCTGAGGATAGTACGGTGTTCTCATCTCTTGTTGCACGGCAAGTTCTTTCTTGTAAGTCTGGCTAAACTCATCATCATCAGAAACATTATCCCACTCCCTTGAGCCAGCTTGGGCTATGACGCTATAACCCTCCGTGGACCTCGATGGGAAACTAAGAGGTTGTGACACGTAATCTGGTGAGGTTATCGATCCACCTCGGAGGAATGAGTCTGAACCACTACTGGAAGACTTTTTCGGATTAAGGGGCTGTTCTTCTTCAGAAGCACCATGGTCTGAATAAGGATGTTGTCTCAGGTGAAAATCTTCCTCTTCATCATGATAATCTGGTGGAGGTGAGTCACGCTTTCGTCCTGAAGGTAATGAATTACGTCTATGCTTAGAATAACTTTGAGGATGCATTTCACTTTGGACGAAAACTTCATCACTTCGCTGAGACACTCGCTCTCGAGACAGTCTTCTCTCACAAGAGTTCTGTCTGCTGTTGTAGCCATTGGGGTTCTCCTGTCTGCTGCCTCGACGGTGTGGAGAAACAGACCTCCCTCGTGTTGAGCGAGGCCTCTGTGAGGCGGGGGACTTGGACCTGTTTCTGTGATGCCTCTCCGCTTCAGAAGAGGTTTCATGGTAGAGAGACTTGGGCCTTGTGTCTTCATCAACACTGACAAGACTCTTTGGCCTCACATTTTCTACGCCGGACTTAGGTACAGCATTATGCTGCATATTACTAACTTTTGCTTGTGTATTATTGGCCCTTGGATCTTCATTATTAACCTTTGGTATGCCTTCAAATTTAGCTAGATCATCAACCACAATTTTATTACTCTCCAGCTGACTCAGAACATGGAAGAGTTGAAGTTTTTGTAGGACTGCTGGGAGCTGTCTGATAAATGTATCGTGGCCATATCTTTTCAAGCATTCATCCACCAGTCCCATCTGGATTTTTTCTTCCGAAGAATATCTGAGAACAAAATGCATAAAAAAAGATAGTTCAGTCTTTGCCCACACTTATCCACAATTTTGTGAGGTTAACATTTTTCAACCATGTACATCATAGCTCAAAACTTAAAACAAAGACCTATTAAAGAAAAAAAGTTTCAATGGGAAAATGGTAACATAATGTAAAATCAAGGGAAGGGAAGATAATGAAAGCTATGGAAACACTGTGAAACCATTCATGCCCGACTCATTTGCAAGAACCTACCCCAGTAGTTTGAACAATAATCTGACACAGTAAACATTACAGCACAAAACCATTTCTCTTTCACCCATCCCCCTCAGCAAGAGTTTTAACAGTTTTGTCTTGTCCAACTCGGTCGCCCAAATTTCAGTACCCTATTCATAACTCTTGCTGAGATCGACAAGCGACAGGCCATACAGACAACCTGATAGGGATACATATCCATGGTGTTATGTTCTACTAACTGTGTAACAAGAAGAAATAAATTAAATCTTCTTTTACTCTAAACCCATTGCCAGAGCCAATCTGCAGGTCCTCAATTAAAATCAAAAGTAAGAATGCATAACAAATAGTAGTAAGTACTGTGGGCTAGCTTTTATGTCTTTTCCCATCATTTAAATCTCATGTGTTTTAGGCCAATAAAAAATTTCCAAAACAAACCGCGCAAAACAGCATTAACATCTTGAGAACAGAGGACTAAACAGGTGTTTCATGCGAGTCTATATCAAAACTCTTACTTTTTCCTGAAGTTTCCAAGGTCCTTGCCTGGAATGCCAAACTCTTTACACATCTGTTCTGTCTGACCAACGTCCATGAGCTGTGACAACGTTCTCTTCAAGTCACCACGGCGGACGTTGGGGGCTTCATGAGTGGTCACCTGGAAAAGAAAACAGAAATTTTAGCAAAATTTTCAAACTCCACAAATATGTAAACACTGACAAGAACAATTTGAAGACAAAGTACAGTAGTGAAAGTTGAAGACTTTTACCACTTGCTATTAGATGAGAGTCAATCTCCCTTTTCACAATTGCAAAATATAGGAATTACTAATGGTTTCAAATTTTAAAATAGTTTTTTCTGAATACCAGACAGTCAGCAAAAGAACAAACACATTCGTATTATGCAAATTCCTGCTCAACAGCAAGCTTTTATGCTGTACAATTTCAAAAGAATGCCTAGAAAAAGTACATCCACATGGTTCAATACACAACAGTTGATTAGCAAAACAACTTAGCAGTGAAGATGAATTCGTTTCATAGAGTTGAAAATCATTTTAGGAATTACATAATTTCAAATTACTTGACATGGCAACTGTTTCCATTTCAAAGAAAGAAAAAAAAAAGAAGGTAATAGAAACATCCGTCTTTTACATATCAGTCTGTTAAATTAGACCATTAATTACCTTTACCGGCACTAAATGACCCCTGATGTGTCGAAGTGAAATAACTTTGCAAATTCCTAACCGCTCTAGATCTAGTACAATGAAAATAAACAATCCCACATTGCAAAACAATGTAGTTGTAAATTTTTTTTAAAACCAAAACAAATCAACCAGAATTAAAATAAAAGGTATGTGACAGACCTGCCCAGCCACTGGGCTGACTTCCAGGTAGCGGACGTAGAATGTTCTCATGAGATCATCGCTGTCCTCGTGGAGGGCTGTCTCGTAGTCCCGTGTCGACTCGTGCACGTGCATGATGTCAAAACAACACTGGAACACGCTGCTAGGGACCTGGTTTGGAACATTCTCCAGAGCCCACTCCACTCGGATAGGATCTGTTTGCCGACAGCAATGCACGATCTCATTCAACTTGCGAACCTGTAAAAGAAAATTGCAATGTGGGGTTAGGGGAATCGCATAGTGGTTGATATGATTAGTGGAGGAAGCCAGACAAGTAAAAAAATAATTAGAGTAGTCCATTTCACCTACTGATGCTCAACCAGCTGATTCTACAACAAATTTTACTCCAAATATGAAATGAACCAAAAACCCTGACAGGTTCGTTTATAGTCATCGAACAGTCAAAACGTATTGAAAAAATGAAGTCAATCAGCAGACAGTACACTAGTAGAGAGACATTCACTTAACCTGTTCATTTTACACGGGCGCACCGGCAGTGGAATTTTAGTTGCCGCGGGGGGTTCCCCGCCGGGCGCCTTATCACGTCGGGATCACGGGGGTCAGCTCCCTGTGGCCGCTCTGTCTGGGCCGACTTCATTTCTGGTACTTTTCAACGTACAATTTAAGGTGTATCCTTGTATTTATGGTAATTCTCATTTAGTGCACCCAAAGCACGCATTTCTGCTCTTGAGACTGAAAAAAGAACGGACGTTGTAACTTGTCTGGTTATTTAGTTAGACGCGCTGGAGTCGGCAATGCTAAATTGTAATTTTTTGGGGACTAGCGTGAATGAAAAAAAATCAATATAAAAAAAAGGCCTCGTCAAAATCTGTCGAACTTTTGGAATATGAACGACATAGCATTGGTGCAGATACTCAGAAAAGATGGTATCTGGGCTTATAATAGAAGGCTGTAATTTTGCAATTGTATCCATCGGGCACACAATTCGCTACGAAGTAATTCCTCCAAATACAACTTTATGTGTCTAATATAATCATGAATATTCGCATATTTTCTCGAAAGTTTATAAAAGTTATCATGAAGTTTCTCAATGAAAAGTACAAATCGATTTTAGTGCTAGAATATATCTTCAACGTAGATCTAATACACGAACAGTATCTGTTACACTCCAGAAATTGCTTACTTTTCTTAAAACGCTAAGTCTAGGTTTTGTAAGTTGACTGAATAAAAGGGATGACTTCTCGTAATTGGGTTATAAGAATAATTTCTAGCTTTCCTGGGACACTGAATCAGCACCAGACTTTTCCAGCTTTTTTTTACGTTTCTATGACCATTTGCAATAACTGACAATGTGACTGATTTCTTTACATTCATAATTGTGTCCGCGCATATTTCCTACACAAAAACTAAGAATGAATGTTTTAGCTGTCATTATTTTTATTCCATACTAAAAGTTTATCTCTACCCATGTATTTACACGGTTTTGTGGTTTTTTAAATCGCTTATATTATATCTTTTTAGTTGTATGCAGGCTGCCACAGACACAGCATGATTTATGAACAAACGCAGAGTAACTTTCTCTTGTTTAATAGTAAAATAAGAGCTAACGCTGATCGTCTTTAGTTAAAATATGCAGATGTGCATCTTTCTTCTCTTATAACTTGACTATTACTACTACCGCAGATTTAAGATTTCTCATGGTAAAAGACATGATATTCGTTGTCAGTTTAACACAGAATTTGGAGAGATCTGTCGTGCCTTTTTTAAAATAACAATCATTTATTCATAACTTTGTAACTAAAATAGGACAAATTGGGTACTCTACAAACACTTGTCTAGAACAAAAACTAAGGCACAGAAACTAACCATTCTAACGCAGAATAAATCTCAAGACATTGAGCTTTTAGTACATCCGCGTAATGGTTTGCTGTGTGGGATGGGGAAGAAGTTATATCGTTTTAAACATAGTCAAAAATGCGAACTTCCCGACCGACACCGGCAAAGTCGCCTCAGGGCTCATAACCCCGTGACCCCGAGCCGGGGAGCTCCGGCGGGCTGCTGAGTCTCGCAAACTAAAAGTTACAGAATCGGGCGAAAAGTGACGCCGTGTTTAGAAAAAGAAAGTAAATGTTCAGTTGTAAAAAGAGGATTCCAGATTTGCAAGTTATTCCTGACAGTAGCACAGAGAACTAGTAATCACAACATAAAAAGACTACAGACACAAACCTGCTTTAGACTTTACGTTATTCCTGCACTGATCTGATTTGCACTGACCAAGAAGACTTTTAACACATTTATACAATAGCAGCAGCACAAACAAAACCAAGTTTGTAATTTATGGCATCTCTACACAATAAGAGTCACATCTCACCAAGTACAATAATATAAGTTGATAGCAAAGGAAGAAAAAAATAGAAGAAAAAGATGAAACCCAAGTAGTCATCCACAACCAGCTAAGGAAGAGAGAGAGTCTATATTAACCCTATCCCTACGCCCTGGGGTCATTTAGTATCCCCCCGGGTTGTATTCTTCATATTTTAGAATTCTTGTAGTTCGAAGATCTCTTTGAAACTTTCAGTATTTCTCAAAAAATCATTTTGACAGACTGCTATGCAAAGCATACAGATTGGATTAACGAGTAAATTTCCTCTTTGGAAAGTGGTGGCACAAAGTTTCCCACGTCGTAAGGATACGATAGGAAAACATGCCATACGGAAATTGGCCTGACCTGCAAGGGTTTGAACAGAGGCCTACTCCCATCAGGCCTCATAACATGACGCCAACACAAGCGATCGTTCTCTTCTCCCATTTGTTGCATTCTCATGAGGAGGCGACTGTTAGAGGATGCATCATCCAGCAAAGGAATCTGCATGTCTGTCAGCAGCTGGCGATCCACCTCAGACTCCTGTTTCATGAACCTCTGACAAAACATGTAAATATCACTGTTATACGAATGACACTATCAATGAACGTACGAGTCAAAAACTAAACAGTTCATCATGGCAAGCAACTTGAAACTTAGTCCTTAAAAAGCAGATATACCAGAAATGATTCCTCATTTATACAACACTCTATACTGCATAAGGCAGCAGAAAATGGAAAAAAGAACAAAGTCAAAACTCCTCAGCTCAGATTTTTTGAAAAAGCAATTATCGCAATTATTGCGTGCATGTGTGTGTGTGATCGCGTGTGCTATCATTTTCATAACTGATCTATTGCACTTACTTGCATTTTGTTCTCTATAGGTATAACGTTATACATCTACTCAGAAAATTACTTGATACGTCCATAGTCAAATAGACAAGCAGGCGAGTTGTGTAAGCTCTTGTACGACATGTGCTATTGAGCTTCTTTTCAGTGATACTATCATCTTTATCGGTTCCTGGCAACGCATGCTCACTTGCAGCAAATTACAAGTCTACGACTCAACATGACCAGCATTGTCTTTAGTACCTCCAAATAGTCTTTTATTGTGAGCTTCCGGTCCCAGATATAGAGAAAAACCCGAACTTCACGTCGAGTCTTAGTGATCTGTACATGAGAACCAAACACCATCGCACAGATAGATGGAAGACTTGACGTTTCACACGTGGTGCAGAAATATCCACTGAGGAAATATGTCGAGCAACAGAATAGTAATCCAGAAAGAGTAATAAGTTTTCAGAAATACTTTGAAAAAACAAAAATACAAAAAAAAGAATAAGTACAAAAAAAATATTTCAACTTCTTCAAAAACTTCCCGCAGAAAAAGTAAAAACTTTATATCAAAGCGAAAACTGTTTAAATTACAAAGCTTAAAAATCGTAATCAATTACGTTTGAGCACAAGGCAATGATGATGATGATGATGTTCCGAGCATCTCAGCTCCACCAAAGGACACTGACCAAAAACCTTAGTGAATCCTGAATTTTGACATCAAGAGAAGCAAGCGAATTGTAGATTTAAGTTTAACGTTCTCCCCCAAAAACTCATCACTGCCTCAAAAAGAATTGTTTTGCTTCCCCCATTTCCGTCACACAGTATTTAAATCAAAAGGAAGCATGTAACTGAATACCAGCCAATCAGAGTAGGGAAAAAAGCAAAAAAGACAGACAAAATCAGCAGCGGAACAACAAAAAAAGGCCTATTTGTGATGCCTTCCAGCCACCTACATTACCACGACAAGAGTCTGTTTTATTGGCCTTACCTGAAGTGTGTTGTGCTGATATCAACTGTGCCATCGACACCTTTCTCCCAGTATGCATCATCCCTAAACTCATTCGACTTTGACTTATGTTTGAGGCAGTGGACCGACACACGACCTCTTTCGCCAACACTGAAGGTGTACACCTGTAAAGAAAAAGCCCTTTTAAAATACAAACAAATAAACTGATGGGGCATAACCAAGACTGATTACTTGGCTGTTTGAGTAACTTTATGGACCAAGGAGTAATGAAAAAGGGACATAACATACAATGGCCATCAATAAATCACAAGGCTCATATACTAAAAACTCTTGCCATCAAAGACAAAGGCATTTTTGGTGAAAATCCTAAGAAACTGGATGGTCACGGTGCACCGGCAGTGGAATTTTATTTGCCGCGGGGGGTTCCCCGCCGGGCGCCTTATCACGTCGGGGTCACAGGGGTCAGCTCCCTGTCGCCGCTCTGTCTGGGCCGACTTAATTTTTGGTACTTTTCAACTTACAATTTAAGGTGTATCCTTGTATTTATGGTAATTCTCATATAGTGCACCCAAAGCACACATTTCTGCTCTTGAGACTCAAAAAAGAACGGATGTTGTAACTTGTCTGGTTATTTCATTAGACGCGCTGGAGTCGGCAATGCTAAATTGTAATTTTTTTTTGACTAGCATGAATGAAAAAAAAATCAATATAAAAAAAAGGCCTCGTCAAAATCTGTCGAACTTTTGGAATATGAACGACATAGCATTGGTGCAGATACTCAGAAAAGATGGTATCTGCGCTTATAATAGAAGGCTGTAATTTTGCAATTTTATCCATTGGGCACACAATTCGCTATGAAGTAATTCCTCAAAATATAACTTTATGTGTCTAATATAATCGTGAATATTCGCATATTTTCTCAAAAGTGTATAAAAATTACCATGAAGTTTCTCTATGAAAAGTACAAATCGATTTAGTGCTAGAATTCATCTTCAACGTAGATCTAATACTCGAACTGTATCTGTTACACTCCAGAAATTCCTTACTTTTCTTAAAACACTAAGTCTAGGTTTTGTAAGTTGACTGAATAATAGGGATGACTTCTCGTAATTGGGTTATAAGAATAATTTCTAGCTTTCCAGGGACACTGAATCAGCACCAGCCTTTCCCAGCTTTTTTTTTTGTTTCTATGACCATTTGCAATAACTGACAACATGACTGATTTCTTTACATTCATATTGTGTCCGCGCATATTTCCTACACAAAAACTAAGAATGAATGTTTTAGCTGTCATTATTTTTATTCCACACAAGAAGTTTATCTCTACCCATGTATTTACACGGTTTTGTGGTTTTTTAAATCGCTTATATTATCTTTTTAGTTGTATGCAGACTGCCACAGACACAGCATGATTCATTAACAAACGCAGAGTAACTTTCTCTTGTTTAATAGTAAAATAAGAGCTAACGCTGATCGTCTTTAGTTAAAAAATGCAGATGTGCATCTTTCTTCTCTTATAACTTGACTATTTCTACTCGCGCAGATTTAAGATTTCTCATAGTAAAAGACATGATATTCGTAGCCACTTTAACACAGATTTTGGAGAGATCTGTCGAGCATTTTTTAAATTAACAATCATTTATACATAAGTTTGTAACTAAAATAGGATAAATTGGGTACTCTACAAACACTTGTCTAGAACAAAAATCAAGGCACAGAAATTAACCATTCTAACGCAGAATAAATCTCAAGACATTGAGCTTTTAGTACATCTGCGTAATGGTTTGCTGTGTGGGATGGGGAAGAAGTTCTATCGTTTTAAACATAGTCAAAAATGCGAACTTCCTGACCGACACCGGCAAATTCGCTTCAGGGCTCATTAACCCTGTGACCCCGAGCTGGGGAGCTCCGGCGGGCTGCTGAGTCACGCTAACTAAAAGTAACAGAATCGGGCGAAAAGTGACGCAGTGTGGTAAACATCGCCGATCGGCGATATGTGACGGCAAAGTGTTAATAATAGTAATAATAATAATCATAATATAATAATCATAATAACAATAATAATAATTATTATTATAATAATAGTAATAACAATAATCAATGTATTGCATTTACATTTTCCCCTTTCATCTAACCTCAATGCTCAATGTACATCAAAAGATAGCAGAGAGCCAGATTCAAACTCGAATCTTCTGTGTGCAAAGAAGACAAATTTGTATTAATAAGTTAACACATACAAGCTGGACAAAATTATAATAGCCAATACGTAACAGGAAGAATAAAAACATAAATGAAAGAAGCGACAACACATTTTACATTGTAGATAAATGATGAGAGGGGTTAAAATAAGATAATTTATTTGAATATAAAACATGAATATCAATGCTCAAGCAAAGATTGCGTAGATGTTCATGTCTTTGGATCGGCTGAACCTGAGTAGACATACATTACAAGGTAATTATACTTTTTTTTTTATTACAGACAATCTAAAAAAGCTATCAAAATTACATTACAGGTTGTATTTCTTCTATATCTCAACATTTCTTGAGGTTTTAATACACTGAGCTGAACCAGCAAATATGGCGCAACAGTTCCGCACTTCAAAATCCCACACAGAATATGTGAGTTTAAATCCTGAGTGGTGGTGAGTTTGGTTTTTTTTATTATCTCGATTTATCTGTTGGGATGTGACTGCCTGGAGTGACCCCGACAGGCACAGGCACGGCTGAAGCGGCCAGACTCCAAATACGTTGAGCTGACCAGTTCATCTGCCAGAGACAACAGTATGGCATCTGGATCTTCACACACTGAGCGGTTTTACAGCTGCCATTCCTCATCACCACCTTTCTCAATAAAGACACAGAGCTTGGTCTTCCCTAAAAAGTGAATTAATACAATGACGACACTGCCACCTGGCAACACTGACCTTCACAGCATTGATGTCAAACTCATCCGGCAGAGAATGAGGTAGCTGCACACACACAAATCTGTTGAAGGCCTCAGACATTGCTGCATGATACTCCACAACTGGACTGATCAGGCTCTCTCCAGATGGCAGTTCAAACTGAAAGATGGTAGACATGCACAAAATACAATAACACCTTTTTCAACAATTAAACTGACTGTGGTTAACACTAAAAGTGTTACTTTCTACAAATCCACAAGAACAAACGCTTTCACCAGGATTTGACAACAACACAGAAAAAAAGTAACCAGAACATCTTTCGCCTATCGACACTTTAGAGAACAGAATTATGCACTCCACACACATGCAGATTATCTCTAGCTAATAAGATCTTAGTATAGACCTTAACACACAGGTGTGAAAACTGCTGCAAACCAAGCATCCAGCAGAATTTATTCCTCAACATATAAAAGACTCCAGTGAAAAATCAGATACTTCATATTTTAAGAAAGTGGAGAGGGAAAACGGAAATTCATAGTAAGTATACTGTTTATTTTACTTCACATATCACAAGACATAGTTTGTTTTTTCATGGGATCATTTGCGGAGAAAAAAGTTTGATTTTTAAAGAATGTTTCTTCGTATTATTATTCTTTCTGAGGCTATGACATCAACAAAACTTCCACACAGGAGAAACATAGAACAATGCTGACATTCAGGACAAAAACAAAATCTCCATTGCTACTGTAGGAAACAAAGATACAATTTAGAAAGACAAAAGGAACAATACAGAAGACAACTATAGTTGGTATATTTTGAGAGTACATGGAATAAAAAACATACAAATCACATGTCAAACACATTCACAAATAAAAAAGCATGGTTACTTTTTGTTTTATCAGAGCACATTGAGCACTCTGCACATGAATATGCAGTTGCTTACAAAACAATCAGCATAACTTAGCTATCATCAATGAAAGAGAGAGAGAGAGAGAGAGAGAGAGAGAGAGAGAGAGAGAGAGAGAGAGAGAGAGAGGGAGGGAGGGAGGGAGGGAGGGAGGGAGGGAGGGAGAGAGAGTAAACTTGAATCTTATATTTTGAGAGGTCCCTGGGGCTAATTTCACCACTTACTAGCCACTTACTGTCTTTTTGTCAACTGATTAGAAAGGATATATAGTGGGAGATTAACGCCTCTTTCAATACTGTGAGGTAATTCATTAGGGGGTGACCTTATTTAGGCCACATATGGCCTAAATAAGCTAAACCCCCCTCCCTTACCTTATTTGGGCCACAGGTGGCCTAAATAAGCTAAACCCCCCTCCTTTACCTTATTTAGGCCACACCTGTGGCCTGAATAAGCTAAACCCCCCTCCCTTACCTTATTTAGGCCACACCTGTGGCCTAAATAAGCTAAACCCCCCTCCCTTACCTTATTTAGGCCACATATGTAGTCAAAATAACCAAACCAATGTAAAGCATTGTTTTCTTTACAAGTTACATTATTATCTCTTTAAAACTCTTCACATCCATTTTCCTTCACAGCCGTATCGTACATGACATGTGATGTAGAATCAATTTAAGGTCCTTAGAAAGGTGACCAGAAAATAACAAAATTATTTTATGATCTTCACTTGCACTTGCAATTTTTTGGACAAATTAAAGTCTACCTAATTATATTTTTTCCCCTCATTTTTCTTCACTATAAATGACAACTGGCATGTATTGTTTTCAGTTATTATCAAGAAAGTGGATAGGCGGACTACCGGGTCTATCTAGCCAAAAGGATAGGTGGACCCCGGGGTCTACCTAACAAAATGTTAGGTTTTAGGATGTGAACCCCGGAGTCAGCGTAGTGAAATAAGTAGATCTAGGTTTAACTAAGGATCGGTGGACCCCGGGGTCAACATAATGAAATAAGTAGATCTAAGTTTATTTTATAATAGGACTGGCGGAGCCCGTGGTCAAAGTAGTGAAATTATAAGTAGATATAGGTTTAATTAAGGATTGGAGGACCACGGGGTCAATGTAGTGAAATCAGTAGATCTAGGTTTAATTAAGGATTGGTGGACCCTGGGGTCAATGTAGTGAAATAAGTACATGTAGATAGATCTAGGTTTAATTTTAAGGATTGGTGGACCCTGGAGTCAACGTAGTGAAATAGGTAGGTTTAAGGTGAACCCCAGGGTCTACCTAACGAAACACTAGTTAGGTTTTAGAATAGGTGGATCCTGCCGTCACCATAGTAAAATAAGTAGGTTTAATCAAGGTGTCCCGGGGGTCCACCAATCCTTAATTAAACCTTCTTAATCCTCTATGGCCTTGGTGACTCCGGGTTCCACCAATCTTTAAAGAAACCTACTTATTTCACTGCGGTGACCCCAGGGTCCACCTGTCCTAAAACCTAGTACCAATCCTTACTTAAACCAAACCTTATTTCACTACGGTGACTCCGGGGTCCACATCCTAAAACCTAGTATTTCGCTATGCAGACCCCGGAGTTCACCTATCCTCTACAGGACTATACTATTATTATCAATTTGCAATTTTCATTGATTAGCATTTTTGTTTAAATATAATATTGAATCAGAGTGCAGGGGAGACCGAGGCGCCCGGTCGATTCGGTGGTCGGCTTTTGTAGATCTATGCATTTTTTACGGAAAGCCGTATTACCTAACCCTATTACTAGATCTATTAGTGTTGTGAAAACTTCAACCTCTACAGCTCAGGCGTCAAAAGATGCTGGTAAATAATAATAGATCTACGTCCTGAAGTTTCATAATTTATTTTTATACAGAATAACACAGTACACAGTCAGTAGTTTTTATTTCATCGAGTTATAAAAATGGCCTTCGTATAAAAATTGCCTTGTTTTCAGAAGCAAGTTTTAATAGTTCTAGTTCTACCTAATCGATTTTCATGCGAATTCAACCATTTTGATGATCTTTCTTTTCCTTTTAAAAAGATGTAGATCTAGGCCTGTCGGATGTGGCAGTGCGAATAGCACTGAGTTGTTTAGATCTAGATCTAGATCTAGACCCATCAAAACACGAGGCTTCGTGGCTGATCACAAAAGTCTACGGGGCTTATCGAGGCCGATTCGCCCTGCCGCGAGCACGTTCACTAAACTGCCTACTAGATAGAATCTACTACCAAATATTCTCTACACAATCTTTGCTACTACTACTACTAGGCCTACTAGCCTACATGTACTACTACGACGAGACAGTACGAGAGAGTGTCACTCAGGCAAAGATAGTGTAACTTTGACTCAGCCACGTAGTATACACACTTTTGATACCCAAATTTAACCCGAAAGTCCATTCGGAGGATTTGACCTTTTCACTTGACCAAAGTGTGCCAAAATGATAGCCTAGCTTTTGCCCCTCCATGAAGGAAAAATCCGGCCCTCATTCAAACCATTGGAATTGAGCAAAATTTTGCGTTTTGTGCTTTGTTCTTTACAATATTCATTATGGTTATGATTTATAAGTTGTACACTGAGGCAAAACCATACTAAATGAGAAAGGTGCACCATTATGAAAGTGGAATGAACTCAGTTGCCTGAAAAGGGTAGTTTGAACATGTGTGGCCTAAATAAGCTAACCCCCCCTCCCTTACCTTATTTAGGCCATATGTGGCCTAAATAAGCACTCCCTTCATTAGGACGTAGTCCCTCCAAATTTAACATCCATCTCTGGCTGGACTGATATTTTTTATTATTTTTTTATAGTAAAGGGTTTTACGGCACTCGCAACTGCATAAGGTCACATGAGCGCCAAGGGGTTGGTGTCAACAGAGAAGTCTTTACAGGGAATCAGACTTAGACTGCTCACCTCTCTAGCTTCAACAGCACAAAGTCTGCTTCGACTATCAGGGCACCCCGGAAATAGCAGGTCACAAGAGAGTGACAAACATACAAAAGAAGTATAGGAAATTGACAATAGTAAGGATCAGGAAAGAAAAAGCAGCAGTTCCCTGTTGTAGATCAGGTACAGTTATGAGCGTGACATGATTCAGCCCATTTACAATTCTACTATGCTCGAACGAGAAATGTCCCCCCTTTGGGAATGGCCTAAAGACACTACAGTCAGTGGCACTGCCCCAGGGGGATCTGGCTGGACTGAGGTAAGTGGAAGAAACCAAAATTTAAGAATACCCAAAAGGGGATTTGAACTAGGGGCATCAGCATCAAAACTAAGCTTATCAACTGAGCTAGCGGCCAGCTCGTTCATCAACTGGGCTATCTTAACACTCAAAGGAAAACAATAAAGAAACAAGACATAGTATACGTCTGAATCCTAGTAGCTACCTTCCTCCTGATCTCAGACACATCTGTGAAAACAGCCCCATAGATATCCACGTATCTGCTCTTAGGAATGGCATTAGCAACAACTACCAGAGACACATCAGAGCCATTTGCCTGCATGACACCACCTCTGCTTGTGAAAGACCCGCCAAACTGCCATGAGCTGCCAAATACTGTGAAAAGCAGAAATAGACAATGATGCATTTGTCAAGGTTTTACAACGAACAGCAGTAGAACTTCACAGTATTATCACAACAGAAAACACAACAATCTTCCACTTTGAAATGCTTCACATTTATGCACATAAAGTAGATTTATGTAATAAACAAACTCCATCATAATATATAAATTTTAAAACTATCAAAATCAAACTCAATAGCACAGTCAAATTACTCTCAAATAATCACACACACACGCACACACAAACACGCACACACACACACACAAACACACACACACACACACACTCACATACACACTCACACACTCACACACAAACACACAAACAAACACACACACACTCACACACACACTCACACACACACACACACAAACAAACACACACACTCACACACACACACACTCACACACACACACTCACACACAAACACACACACACACACACACACACACACACACACACACACACACACACACACCTGTTTTGCAGCCTGGGGAGGAGACGCTGTCCTCTGTCTGTGTCTCAATGCTGGACTGGTAACTGCCAAGCTCGTTCTTGGGGCTCGTCTTAATGCTCTTTGTGAGCCACTCCGTGGTGGTGGTGGTGGGCGGAGAGCTGCGCTGAGACCACAGCGAGGAGTCGTCCGATGCCGCTTCCACGTAGTTCTCCGATGGGGATGTAGGAGGGATGCTAGTGAACAAACGACGAGAAAACTGGTGTCAGGAAAGGAAGAGAAAAGAGAGAAAGAGAAAGAGAGAGAAAGAGCAATAGGCAGGCAGAGGGTCGGACGGACGGATGGACGGACGGATGGACAGACGGATGGACAGACGGACGGACAGACAGGCAGATGGGCGGATGAAGGACAGACAGACAGACAGACAGACAGACAGACAGACAGACAGACAGACAGACAGACAGACAGACAGACAGAGATGGACAGAGACAAACACAAAGAGAAAAAGTGCGAAAGAGAGAAAGAGAGAGAGAAAGAGAGAGAGAGAGAGAATACATAATGAAGTTGAAAATACAGATCTCTTACAACTCAAAACCAAGCATCAGAGAGCATCAAAAGTAGTTTTCTTACATGTATTCTCCGATACAATATGTGTCTAAATCAAACCTCGTCTAAAAACATGAGAAAGGTACAATCTCCTCATCTAAAATCTACCTCTGACACCAGTAAGAAGTTGGAGACCAAAAAAAAAGCATGTTCCCTGACAACCCAAGTTCAGGAACGCAGCAGAGGAAAATATTCAAACAATGGTCTGCAGCAGACTAGCTTGATCCCAACTAAGCTGGTGATACTGCATACATTTATTGATACCATTTGAATGTGAAGTACTAAAATTATGCACACACAGATCAAGTAGTATATTTTTGTGGCATGTATCCTACTGGATTAGTTACAGAGGCAAATATCAGCTGGTGTGACAGTAGCTAGTTTCATATTATTTTGACCAATTTTTTAATGATACATTTCGACATAAAGGACTTGAGAATGTGTGTCGATGGCCAAAAAAAATGTAGTCCCTAAAACATGTGCATATCACATTTATGTAAAAAACCACACAGCTCTAAGTGACAAAAGGAATCCCCAAAATAATTGTTACTTTGAAAAAGATATATATTTGAAATAAATTCAACAGGCACCGTTGAACCCTTTCTCAGTTTGTTTGGGTTTTTTCACAGAAGTTGTAAACACCCATTTAATCTGCACCCACAACATTAGAATAATCAAATGCTTGCTATCCCAGAGTTTTTCAGAATACTAATTGTGATGCACTGCTAAGTCTTAAAGCCTTGCCGGCTTAGTTGTAAATTCACAACAAGAGACAATATACAGAAATAAAGGGAGTGAGAATGTTAAAATGAATAGAGCGATACAAAAGTTAAGGTATAAAATTTAACCCATTTACAGCTAAAAGGGCATAGAAGAGCCTGGCTCTATCCTGCAAAAAGGAGTCCACACACCTTATAATGCTGCGCGCCGAGTGATGTGAAGCAGAGGAGCTCGCATTGCTTTCATTTCTGCTGCGATGTCTCGAGGAGGTGCTTGAGTGACTGATACTGGTAGGACAATGTTTGCGGTACTGAGTTTCTTTCCCACGCCCAGGCCTGTTCCTCAAGCGGTCCTCCGTGAGCACATAATCAACATCCACATACCTAAAAGGAAAATACACTGTACTCTGTGATGCTGAAGAAAGGAAGACACTTGTTTGGGTTTATGCATGACGGTGTTCAGGGTAGAAAGTCAGGTGGCCAATACACACATATTAAACTGAGTTTAGCAAAAATAAACTACTATCTGTAAACATCATTATCATTTATCAGGCATCGGAGGGGGAAATACTTGAAGGAAAAGGAAAACACAATTTTCCAAAAGTTTGTTTTTTTCCTACAACAATCTTTAAGACTTACAATCAACCAACCCAAAGATGTAGTAGTAGTAGTAGCAGACATAAAACAATTGAGACAAAGAAAAAGATCTATTAGCTGCACCTACTTTCTATGAAAATCTCCATTCCCTCCTCTCAGTTTGTTCTCATCATCTCTGAGCATGCTGAAGAAGCTCCTCTTTGATGTGACTCCACTGTCAGTGTCCGAGTCAGCACCATCAGCAGTAATGCATGACCTCAACAATGAACCACTAGAGACATTTGGCTCTGGCAAAGTCCTTGAAGTGTTGATCACTTTAACGCGTGGTGGTGCAGAAAGTGAACATAACTCATCACATGCTGCTGAAGAAAACAGCTCAGATAAATACTGTACAAATCAGCACTTTGAACAAATTCAAATCAAGAGATTCACACAAGAATTTAAAACTGATTTTTCAGCCAAGAGAACTCTTTTTCAATGTTTCTTCAATTTAAAGAAGAACAGATTATTAAAAATTTCAATGATAATTTGCGATTTGAAAAAGTCAGTCAGAATTACAGGGGGACAAGAGAGAAACTCAGGACAGGAGAGCGTGAGGTGAGAAATTTTACTCAAGTTATAGCAGTGAAATGAGAAACGAGAACAAAAATGTACTCACAAATGGCTTACCATATGTACATGACACTTTACAACTCAGTACACATACGCTCGTACATGGACTTTACACAACCATAAATGCTTTCTCCATCCTTCACACTTCCGTCAACATATTTAAAGTTTTGTTTTTGTAAGAGTTGTACGGCACTTGTCAACACAATTACGTCAAATAAGTGCCAAAGATTAGAGGTGTTACAAAAGCGTAACAAACACAAAAAAGGAGACGAGATAAAGAAGATTGATGTTTGATATCAAAGAAAGAGCAAACCAAACCAGAGCACCTGCCAACCACCCACATATTTAAAGTGAACTTGAAAGCAAAGATGCAGGGCAATACTAAACATAATGGAAAGAATACGTAAAAAGTACCACATTTTAACATCAAATAAATATTTGTTTGGTGTGTGTCTCCTCACAGAGCCTACCTTCCCGGGAAATCTTTTTTAAAAAAACAATTTGATACGGGAGTCCAAAGATAAAAACCTCATTTCCCTGATCAGCTGTAGAAGGACCCTCAAGATGAGTAAATAAAATGTTTATCAGACTTCACAGCTAAACTACAAGACTCTGAAAATATAATTCATCTGTCAAATAGTACATCATGTTTCAAAGTGTACAAAACTTTAGGTCCAATTAATTTCACAAGAGAAAAAAAAAGGGAGAGACCAAGTCTGCGAAGATAACTTTGGATGGCTGGAAAACACTTTGTCCAGGTTATTTCATGGGAGAATGGAGAAACGCAATTACTTGGAGGGTTATTCTCAAACTTCAAAAATAACTTTCAATGATCATAATCTTGTGCATTTGATCAGGATATTCAAATTGTGCTGCTCAACATGTAAATGAGCATGATCCTGGGGTCGAATGGTTAGTGATCTCAGGTTCACACATTAAATCAAGTTATGTCATTGACATGGCAATAAGATGGGCTGTCACTGGTGAATGTCCTTGCACAAGTTATGAATGTTACACTTATCTAAATTAAAAAAACAGAGCACTGACAAGTGATGACCAACAAGGGTATGTTGTATTATCTGGATATTGATATTGTATAATACATGTGGTGTTGGTGTTGATGGAGTCTCCGAATTTAATCATATATGCACTGCACGAAAGTACTACTAAAATTTCCCTGACAGGAACAATAAAGGTGGTATTTTTCTTCTCTGTTTTTCCAACCTTGCTTGACAGTGGCATTTCCCCCAATAAAAAGTCTGTACCTCTACCATAGCAGAAACAGACACCAGCCCTACCTGTCACTGCAACATCAGATTTCACGTATCTCTCTCGGCGAGCTTGCTCTGACATTTCGTACAGCTCCACTTCACAACAATCACCTCGCACATCAAATGAGTCTCCACTCAGAATAGTGGACACTGTGGACTTTGACTTCTCTGTCCCTCTGTCTGTAGACCGTGAGTTCGTTGTGTCATATCTGCGGAGACGAAGCACGATAACAATTTGAAGAGATTACCAAGTTTGTTCAAAGCTAGTCAGCATGGTAACACCCACATTTCAACAGACAGACTGAGATAATACAACCACTGAAAAGGAGTGCCAGGAGCAGAACACACCAGAGACCTCAGTAGCAACCCACAAATTAACAGTACAGTTAGAAAACACATCCTGACAAGCATTAACTTGTTTGAGCTAACCATAAGCTCTTTTCCTGCACAAATAAATTATGAATTAACACAAACAGGTCCCAGGAGCAATAATATAGAAACAAGATCTTGAAAACATTTTTTAAATATACTTAAGTGATACTCATGCACAGTTTCCTTCTCAATGATGACATGAATGATCAGCTTATGCCACATAAGACCATTTCAAACAGCAATAATCCCCAATTGATCACTACAATATAGTGGCAGAATTTTTAAAGATAATGATAGACACGTCTCACTTGAAAACACATCTCAATGACCACCCAATTAAAAGCTGCCACGTCTACTTTGCTTGACAATCTCTGCGAAGATGCATTCACTGACCTCAAAGGCACTGGCACCATAACCATGAACTCAATAGCCTTGAGTTTTCATATATAATTTCTTCTCCTCATAACAAGTAATCAAGGCTGAAAATATTTTTAAATCCCTGTGATGGACAGATATCTCAATACTTAGCTATATCTTTTTCTTTTCGGAGAAAAATATGTGGGGAAACAATTTTGTCTATTAAATTTATAAATATATCTTGGCATTAGAGTATCAAAGGTGTTATTTAAAAAGTTCTTTCAAATGACTTAGACACAGAACTATTGAATGTTTCTGTGAACAGTCACTTTTCACATCATACAGTGTGAAAACCCAAAAAAGCCATTTCAAAAATAAAGAAACAAAGGCGCACCAAATTTATTTACAAATCAGCACAAAATGCACAAGCTCAGAATAACAGTTATTTGTTATGAACAGATAAATGCCCTACTTTCACTCCAAAAAACTTACAAAAGTCAGTTTTTAGAAACTTATACAAGGTTGGGTTATCCGTCATTGAGAAACTTATAAAGCTGGGTTGGGTCATTGAGAAACTTATGAAACTGGATTAGCTTGTAGAAAAACTTACAAAGCTGGGTTAGGTTACAGAAAAACCGAGCTATGTTGGATAAATGAATAGAAAAACTAACAAAGCTGGGTTATTAGCAATGACCACGAAAAACGTTTTTTTGACAGAAAGTGTTTGCAAATAGGTGCATTTTGTAGCTCTATCTCCACAGAGCATGGGACTTTTTGAATTTTTGAAATCCATCAATAAACAAAAAAGTTATGAATTTTTTAATCAATTAATTTTTGGTACACTTTTATATAATGAAAAAAAAAAAATATGGGACGTTCTTTGATGAGTTTTGAGACAATGTTCGTCATAACTCGCTCATTTCTCGGAATATTTAAATGAAACTTGGCAACCCAGTACATTTTCTAGTGCAGAATCTAGTCCTGCTTTCAGAATTTTCACAGCTATCCTACTTTTTGAGTTATGAAGACGTTTATAAGGTAAAAATGTGGCGGTTTTCGGTGCGTTTTGAGACAATATTTGTCATAGCTCGCCTATTTTTTGGAGTATGTAAATGAAACTTGGCAGTCTAGTACAGTTTTTAATGCAGAATCTAGTCATGCTGTCAAATTTTTAATATCTATCATACTTTTTGAGTTGTAACGACATTAAGAGGTAAAAAAGTGGCGTTTTTTACAGATTTACATAGATTATCAGTCATATCTTCTCCCAAAGTCATGATATTTGAATGGAACTTGGCAACATAAGAGGTTCCTCCTTGCCAAGCAATGCTCTGGATCAATTTGTCAT